GTGTGTGTGTGTGTGTGTGTGTGTGTGTGCCAGTTGTGGTGATGGTAGTAGTAGGATCGCCCAAATACGCGGCAGGGCATACAAACATAAACAAACACATATTGAATACACACAATACCACACACACAGTGCTCCTGGAAGCAAAGTTAGTCGCCCCTGGGATTTCTAAAGCATAAAACGACTCTCTTTCTTTCTCATTACTGTCTTTTTCCGTGTGTGTGTGTAAATAATAATAATAATAATAAACGGTTTATTAATTGAGCGTAGCCGGTGGCTGAAAATATACAGACTTACATTTGATGACATAATGATATAATATGCATTGAATACATTTACAGGGCTGCTGTACAGTACATAAATCAGGAGTTGTTTATTATTTTAACAATAGATGGGATGGTGCTGTTCTTATATCTATCGGTGCGGGCTCTTATGGGCTGAATTTTGTTGTAGTGGCGGAATGCGCGAGTTGGGTGTGTGTGTGTGTGTGTGTGTGTGTGTGTGTGTGTGTGTGTGTGTGTGTGTGTGTGTGTGTGTGTGGTGCCTGTCACTGGTGATGGAATATCTTGGTGACAATGAGGTCAACTTCAGCTAAATGGTTATACATGTGTGTTTGTGGTGACACTGTTGGCTTATAGTACCCTCCAGCCTTCCCCCTCACCTCTCCCCCCCTCCTCCCCCCTCTCTACCTTTACTGCCAGGCACTCGTTTCTCTCTCTCTCTCATATCCTTCCCGCTCTCGGTGTCTGCCTGAGAGGACTTCCACCTACCACCTCCAGGTACTGTGTCTACCTGGGCGTGGGAAAAAAACAGCACTACCTGAGGGTGGAAACAATGGCCGCGTGTCTCGTCAGGTGTAGCAGGCAGAACTCGTGCCGGACAACGCATGACATTTTGTTCAGACGTAATGTAAATGTTCTTGTTCATTAAATCTTGTGCCGCCTAGTGAACTTATCTGAGTGGGTGTTTTAGCGTGAACTCTTTGAAAGGTGCGGGTGTGAGAGGTGAGAGTGAGTGGTACAGGTGTTGAGAGGTGAGAGGTACAGATGTGAGAGGTGAGTTGTACAGATGTGAGAGGTGAGTTGTACAGGTGTGAGAGGTAAGAGGTACAGGTGTTGTGAGGTGAGAGGGACAGGTATTTCCTTCTGTTGGTGATCCTGAGGCAACCTCCCTCACTAGTCACCAACACTACCTCCCACCTTGTACCCTTCGCCACCACTACCACCACCATCTCCCATTCACCACCACCAACACTCACCAACACTGCCCCACCCCCCCCTTTCTCCGTCCCTGAGTGCTAAGAGGACCCTGTCACTGGCCCTCTTCACTCCCTCCTCTCCACTCCCACCCCTTTCTTCCTTCCTTCTCTCTCTCTTCTTATCTTTGCTTCTCCTCCTACACCTTCCTTCATTCTTCCCTCCCTCTTCCATTCTGTTCCATCTCCACCTTCCGTCCCTTTTCCTTCCTATTCCACCTCCCCCCTGGTAGTAGTGGTAGTAGTAGTATCAGTAGTAGTAAACGTAGTAGTAGTAGTAATTGTAGAATAGTAGTAGAAGGAGTAGTCGTAGAAGTAATAAAAGTAGTAATAGTAGTAGATTAATAGTAGTAGAAGTAATAATAATAATCAACCTGCGGCTTCAACATAACAGCTGTGAAATTTACATAATGTTCCACCAACTCGGGAATGTAAACGGGAAGTAATAGTCATAAGGGCGACCCGTGAGAAGGTGACACAGACCACATTATTTCAGGGTCTTATTATGGCAGGTATAACGGTGTGTCCATCCCTCCCTCCCTCCCTCCCTCCCTCCCTCTCTCCCTCTCTTCCTCCCTTCCTCACTCTCTCCCTCACTCCATCGCATTCTCCCTCCCTCTCCCTCACTCTCCCTCCTCATTCCCTCCACTTCCCTCTCTCCTCACTTCCCCCTTCCCTCCTCCTCACTCTCACTCCTCCCTCATACTCCCACCTCTCAAGTATTTTACTGTGATCTTGTGTGTTACTGGCTACTTCCGGGTGGGTGGGTGGGTGGGTGGGTGGGTGGAAGGGAGGGTGTAATGATTAACCACCTTAACGCTAATCTAACATAATCTAACTTAACCTAACCTAACACTAACCTAACACTAACCTAAATTACCAAACCTAACCTAACCTAACCTAACCTAACCTAACCTAACCTAACCTAACCTAACCTAACCTAACCTAACCTAACCAACCTCCCAACACAAACATACTGTGACCCGTATATAAGCTACAAGACTACACAATGCTCCTGACTGTGGAACCTGGAAATAAAGAATGGATTATTTAAGACTGGTGTTGACGAGCGGCAGGTGGTGGTGAAGGCCAGCTGTTGAGGTGTAGCCATCTGAACATGCAAATATGGTAGATGGTCACGAGCAGATGGTGAGGAGAGGCGTGTTGTTGTTGTTTATGTTATTGTTATTAATGTTGTTATTGTTGTTATTGTTTTTGTTGTTGTTATTAATGTTGTTATTGTTTATGTTGTTGTTATTAATGTTATTGTTGTTATTGTTTATGTTGTTGATGATGATGGTGATATTTTTATTATTGCTGCTGTTGGTTGATATTGTTATTGTTTTTCTTGTTATTATTGAGGTTGATGGTGCTGTTATTGTTGTTGTTGTTCCCCTCTACAACTTCGGAAAGAGTTGCAGGGTGAAAATACGTCGTAAAGTGCTTATTTCACCTTAACACAACAATAAAACGCACTCAGAATGTTCCCTTAAGCTATAAAACACACTCAGAAGGTTCACTTGAGCTATAAAACACACTCAGAAGGTTCGCTTAAGCTATAAAACACACGCAGAAGGTTCACTTGAGCTATAAAACACACTCTGAAGGTTCACTTGAGCTATAAAACACACCTAGAATGTTCACTTGAGCTATAAAACACACCTAGAATGTTCACTTGAGCTATAAAACACACTCAGAAGGTTCCCTTAAGCTCTAAAACACACTCAGAAGGTTCCCTTAAGCTCTAAAACACACTCTGAAGGTTCACTTGAGCTATAAAACACACCTAGAATGTTCACTTGAGCTATAAAACACACCTAGAATGTTCACTTGAGCTATAAAACACGCTCAGAAGGTTCGCTTGAGCTATAAAACACACTCAGAAGGTTCACTTGAGCTATAAAACACACTCAGAAGGTTCGCTTGAGCTATAAAACACACTCTGAAGGTTCACTTGAGCTATAAAACACACTCAGAAGGTTCGCTTGAGCTATAAAACACACTCTGAAGGTTCACTTGGGCTATAAAACACACTCTGAAGGTTCACTTGAGCTATAAAACACACTCAGAAGGTTCGCTTGAGCTATAAAACACACTGAAGGTTCACTTGAGCTATAAAACACACTCAGAAGGTTCGCTTGAGCTATAAAACACACTCTGAAGGTTCACTTGAGCTATAAAACACGCTCAGAAGGTTCGCTTGAGCTATAAAACACACTCAGAAGGTTCCCTTAAGCTCTAAAACACACCTATGTTCACTTGAGCTATAAAACACACTCAGAAGGTTCGCTTGAGCTATAAAACGAGAACATAAAACACTCCAAAAATGACATCCAAATTACACTGAGACATTAATTTGATAAGTTAACACAACACATGAGGTTAGTAGACAAAATTAACCTCATTCTTTGCTTCAGTTTTGTGTGCTAGCATATGTTAACTAAACGTAGCTAGTTGAGGTGATTTTCCTTGAGTAATAGTGCTAGTATTTTTTGGGGGGACATTCCTTTTGGTTCTAGCATAAATTAACAGGTTTTAGTATATTATTGATGCTGTTTTAGACATTACTTTAAGTTTTAGGGGTATTTTTGAGACATTCCTTTTAGGTTTTAGCAGTAATTAACCAGTTTAAGTGTTATTTTCACTCTATAGACATTCCTTTAGGTTTTACCATGAATTAGCCACTTAAGTGCATTTTTACATCTTCACTTACGCTTAAAATTCATCTTACGATCCACTGAGAATCTAGACCGTGGCCTGAGCCTTGTTGACATATGTAGGACAAGTGGTGACGGGGAAAATACCTCTCGTCTTGGTGATGAGCTGTACTTGGTAACACTGTGATTTAATTTAAGACTCGTAAATAATGGTGAAAATAAGGGAATTGTTGTCTTATTATTATGTGGGTCGTGTTTAGCTGGTATTAGTGTGTGTGTGTAGGTGTGTGTACGTACACCTCAGTATGCCAGCGGCTGTTTGAGTTTAACCAGCCACTAACATTAAGAGATATGGGCGATTAGGTTAAGTCAGTTTAGGGTAACTTTAGATTAGGCTACGCTAGTGTTAGGTTAGGTTAGGTTAGGTTAGGAAAGGCATAGATTCGGGAGTCAATTATTTTATTCTTAAATTCTGGAGTAACACGGTCGTGTTGCTGGTGAGGAAACTGTTATCTTGGCGCCTTGATGTTTGATGAGTTGTTGGAAGAGGAATTTAGGTTGTTGTGTTGAGACGTGAGGCCTGGAGGTGGTGTGGTGGGGTGAGGTAGCCTGGAGGTGTGGTGGGGTGAGGTAGCCTGGAGGTAGTGTGTGTGTGTGTGTGTTTGTGGCATCCTAGATGTAGTGTATGAGGTGGCCTGGGGGTAGAGTGTGTGTGGTGTTGGTGGTAACAGTGAGAGAAGTGATGATGACTGGCTGGGGAAACTGAGTAATGACTGAACCGCTACGGGAAAGTTAACTTCAAAGATCTCCCAATGAAACACTATTGTCCTGTCAAACCCTGCGAGCGAAAGTGTTCATAATATATCACAAAATACCACAAGTTTTTATTATTTTATTTTAAACATTGATCGAGTCCCCGTCCATGTATGGTTAAAGGAACAGGTGTTGGATTTAAATTTCGTCAGTCCCGTTCCTTGTAGCGGCGGCGCCCATGTTTACACAGATGACGTCGGGTTCTCTGGCAACTGAGGCGGAGGTGGGTTGCCAGCTAGTGCCATTTGGCTGACCCTAAACTCACGGCAGTTGTTTAGTTGGTGTTGAGAAACTGTGTGTGTGGGAGATTGTGCTCGTGGGTCTTAAAACCGACTTCATTAACTGTAAAATTATATTAAATCTATATGGTTGATGGGTTATATGTGTAAAGTGTGATATTGTAATTAATATCTTAAATTGAAACTGATTTGTATATGTCGAGCATCTGTGGCCGAGGAAAAACAAGACTGAATCTTCCCTCCTTACTTGTCAATGAACTACAGTGTAACATTAAAAAACCCTGAAATATGTGTTTTGTGAAGTGAAAGACGGATCAGTATAGCACCAGGTAGGGGAGGAGGGGAGTGTTGGTGAGGAGGCTGCGTGTTACTGACGTGAGGTCATCCCAACGGTTCCAAGGGAAAATTATTGTAAATTAGTATTTGTAGTTTGACGTGCGGTCATCTGTGTGTCTCAGTGACTCAGGCTATGAGATGTGACGTGAGACGGACGGAAGGATGTGGTAAGCAGGAATTGATGAAAAAAATGGTACTGCAACAATTACGACTACTACTACTGCTGCTACTACTACTTCTACTACTACTTCTACTACTACTTCTACTACTACTTCTACTACTACTTCTACTACTACTATTACTGATCTATTATTATTAAAATCAGACAATCACGTCAATCACGGCACTAGTTTGTTTTTGAGTGATCTGAGTGAGCATATTTCTCTATTGTTGAAGCTTGACATTACAGCTGTGTTTGTTTTAATCTGCTTTTGTGTTGAGCTTGGACAATGTGTGTGTGTGTGTGTGTGTATGTACAGCGACAATACTGGACACTTTGAACAGAAGCAGGGTTGCCAATTCACCGTGAAATTAGTGGTTGTGTTGGAGCTTTGCGACACTCCACTGTGAGAGGGTCAGCCCCCCCCCCCACCTAGTCTTTGTCGTAAAATACAAGTGGAGGGGGGGGGGTGTTCGTGTGTGTGTGTGTGTGTGTGAAGTTGAAGGATTAGTACACATCAAATACAAAAATAACACGACCACACACCTCATAGCAAAAACCAAACAATACAATGCTGACAATATATAACAAACAATACAGTTCAATACTAAACAATACATAGCAAACAATGCAAACAAGTACGGGTGAAGGCACTGGACACGTGGCAATATGTAATGAACTGTTAAATTATTGTTTTACTGTGTGTCTGTGGGTAATAACACACACACACACACACACATACACACACACACACACACAAAGGCAGAAAGGTCCAAGTTTGTTGACTACTTCAGGTGGGGACTTCAACGAGCTCGGGATGGTGATCTGAGGGTGTGGTAGCGGTGGTTATGCTGGTAGGTGTAGTGGTAGTGCTGGTTTTGATTGTGGTAGGTGTGTTTAGTGTGGTGCTGGTGATGTTATAGGTCGTTGTGGTGGTGGTGAGGGTGGTAGTAGTAGTGGTAATGGTGGTAGTTGCGAGGGTGTGGACGGCCGCTTGCTACGCTTGGGTTTTTAAAGCTTTTTTTTATGATTGTGGTTCTCATCCTGTGGTTGTTTGCTGTAATTAAGTGGTACAGCGGGAGGTACAGCTGCTGCAGTCTGGGTGAGGCTGGTGGTGGTAGTGGCTGGTGGTTGTGGTGAAAATGACCAAGTGGCAGAATGGTTGGTTATTGAGCTTGTGGTTCAACGCTTGAGTGTGTGTGTGTGTTATATGTGACTGGTAATGTATATAATATTTGTGGAGGTTGTGTGGATATGCTGATGACGTGTGGATGGCCATGTGGATCTTTGTGTGATGGTGATGACTTTACCATTGTAGTGGCACCCTATAAAGTACACCATTGTAGCATCCCCCCCCCCATTATTCCAGTCTCCCATTGTAACAGCTCTCTATACCCCCAGAGCACCACTGTAAAACACTACACTATCACCATTATAGTGTAAACTTCGAATACTATATCGATACAAAGCTACACTGTAACATTATCCCCACACGTGAATGGTGACCGTGTGTACTGTACCTGCCTTAGGACGGTTCATTACTCGCCTTATTTCACGCTCAGTCGCTCAAGGTGAGATGAAGAGAGAGAAATAAGACCTTGTTAACATAAAACTCCATTCGTCGAGCACCTGATCCACACTTAGCACCACTATGACGGGTCTTGACAACATGTTCACTGTCACCGTAATAAAAAACAATTACTGTAACGACCATAAAGGTATTTTTTTTTCTTCTTTCGTTCATGGCTTATGACTCCTGCCCCCCCGCCGCCCCCTTTCCCCTTTTACTCCCTACCTCCTTCCTTCCCCCACTTCCCTCCCCCCTGGTAATTACAGGTGGAGTGTAAAAGGATAATTATAAACGTTAAATGGTTCCCCCTCGTAGTGCCGGAGGTGAGCGTTGGCAGGACAAATGGAATGTTATTCATCCTTCTCTTTGTCTGTCTTCCTGTCCTTCTGTGTCTCTGTCCGTCCATCTGCCTGTCTGTTCACCTGTCTGTCTGTCTGTCCATCTGTTCTGTCCGTCCACCCGCCTGTCCGTCCACCTGCCCGCCGTCCACCTGTCTGTCCGTCCATCTGTTTGTCCGTCCACCTGCCTGTCCGTCCACCTGCCTGCCCGTCCACCCGTCTGTCCGTCCATCTGTTTGTCCGTCCACCCGCCCGTCCGTCCACCTGCCTGCCCGTCCACCCGTCTGTCCGTCCATCTGTTTGTCCGTCCACCTGCCTGTCCGTCCACCTGCCTGCCCGTCCACCTGTCTGTCCGTCCATCTGTTTGTCCGTCCACCTGCCTGTCCGTCCACCTGCCTGCCCGTCCACCTGTCTGTCCGTCCATCTGTTTGTCCGTCCACCTGCCTGTCCGTCCACCTGCCTGCCCGTCCACCTGTCTGTCCGTCCATCTGTTTGTCCGTCCACCTGCCTGTCCGTCCACCTTTCTCTCTGTCCGTCCACCTGTCTTTCCATCTGTTTATCCATCCACCTGCCTGTCCGTCCGTCCGTCTGTCCGTCCATCTCTGTCCGTCCACCTGTCTCTCTGTCTTTCCATCCACCTGCCTGTTCCCATCTGTCTATCCTTCCTTCCATCCAACCATCTGCCTGCCTGTCCGTCTGTCTATCTATCTGTCTCACCGCCGATCCAGAGACATCATATAAACACGATAACTTAAACCAATAGTGATAAATTTAGGTAAAATTTGATGTGGGCGAAACTTTAACGAGATCTGAGGCGAGTTGGATAATACTTGTTCCATTTCCTTATTTATTTATTTAATTGTATTTTTGTATTTGTGTTTTTTTATTTATTTTTTATTTTTTTATTATTTATTTTATTATTATTATTATTATTATTAATTTTTTGGGGGTTTCAGTCCCTCCTTAGTCTCCATGGTGACGGGAGATCCTGCAGGCCCCTGTGGTGAACTTTGTGTTGTGTTGTGGTCATAAAAATTTAGGTGTTGCGGTTTATTGTTTTGTCCAATTGTATTTTTATAAGGATGATCACATGAAGATTAGACACCCCAGTTTATGTCACCTGAACCTAACCTAATCTAACCTAACCCCATCCCAGGTAGTGGTAGTGTTTTAATACATCAGGTGAAATAAGCGGCAGGTGACATAATCTGGGGTGTTTAATCTTCATGTGATCCTTTTCTCTACAATGGTGAGGAAAATGCACGGCGTATATGTAAACAGTGAGGCACAGCGTATTTGTAAACAGTGAGGCACGGCGTATTTGTAAACAGTGAGGCACGGCGTACATGTAAACAGTGAGGCACGGCGTAAAACAGTGAGGCACGGCGTATTTGTAAAACAGTGAGGCACAGTGAGGTAAAATTTAAAGGTGTGTGTGTGTATTTAGCAGAGTATTATATGTAAACAGTGAGGCACGGCGTATTTAAACTGCCGAGGCACGGCGTATTTGTAAACAGGTGAGGCACGGCGTGTAGTGAGGCACGGCAGTATTTGTAAACAGGAGGCACGGCGTATATAAACAGTGAGGCACGGCGTATATAAACAGGAGGCACGGCGTATATGTAAACAGTGAGGCACGGCGTACATGTAAACAGTGAGGCACGGCGGTATATGTAAAAAACAGTGAGGCAAGGCGGTATATGTAAACAGTGGAGAGCACGGCGTAAACAGTGTATGTAAACAGTGAGGCACGGCATGGCGTATATGTAAACAGTGAGGCACGGCGTATATGTAAACAGTGAGGCACGGCGTACATGTGAGTATATGTAAACAGGAGGCAGCGTAGTGATGTAAACAGTGAGGCACGGCGGTAAAACAGTGAGGCACAGCGTAAACAGAGGCACAGCGTATATGTAAACAGTATATGTAAAGTGTGAGGCACAGTGTATGTAAACAGTGAGGCACGGCGTATATGTAAACAGTGAGGTACGGCGTATATGTAAACAGTGAGGCACGGCGTATTTGTAAAACAGTGAGGCACGGCGTATTTGTAAACAGTGAGGCACGGCGTGTATATGTAAACAGTGAGGCATGGCGTATTTGTAAACTGAGGCACGGCGTATTTGTAAACAGAGGCAGGCACGGCGTATTTGTAAACAGTGAGGCACGGCGTGTATATGTGTAAAATGGTGAGGCAATGGCGTATATGTAAACAGTGAGGCACGGCACGGCATGTAAACAGTGAGGCACGGCGTATATGTAAACAGGAGGCACGGCGTATATGTAAACAGTGAGGCACAGCGTATATGTAAACAGAGGCACGGCGTATAAACAGTAAACAGTGAGGCACACAGTGAGAGGCACAGTAAACAGTGATACGGCGTAAACAGTGAGGCACAGCGTATAAACAGTGAGCCATGTAAACAGTGAGGCACAGCGTATATGTAAACAGTGCCACGGCGTATATGTAAACAGTGAGGCACAGCGTATATGTAAACAGTGAGGCACGGCGTAGGTAAACAGTGAGGCACAGCGTACAGTAAACAGTGAGGTATATGTAAACAGTGAGGCACAGCGTATATGTAAACAGTGAGGCACAGCGTGTATATGTAAAACAGTGAGGCACAGCGTATATGTAAACAGTGAGGCACGGCGTATATAAAACAGTGAGGCACAAAGCGTATATGTAAACAGTGAGGCA